TGTAGTCCAAAGCCAATCTTTCTGTGCTGTTAATCAGCTTAATGGCTTTACCATAGTCCATGTGGAATCATCATTGTGGGATCCTGTCATCTTTTTGAAGATTTCAAAGTCACTGTTAGGTGTGGTCATGGTTCTCTGCAGACATATTTTTCCTTCCTCCATGGTTTGGAGCAGTCACAGTCTGATAAAGGTCTTCCTCTCAGAACCATGAATGGACTTCCCCAGAAGAGAATATCTTCATAGCAACTTCTCCCCACCATTGCCTAGCTAAACTTCTCCAACCTGACCTTTGCCAATGCTTTCTTGTAACACAATGGTGTTGGCAATTGTTGTCTGAACAAACAGCAATAAACCTTTCACACCTGGAAAAGAATCGATTCTGCCATCAACATGATGAGAAGCAGCTGGCAACTCGGAGCAGCAGCCACCAACTCCATCGTCCTGCCATCACTGTTTGTAGCTCAGCCCCAGTCCCAGGTTCTCCTCAGCAAGCCTCCTAGCCTGGCTTCAAACACAGGATCCTCCTGCCTCTGCTTCCTTCAGCAAATCCTACCAGTGTGCGCCACCACAACCAGCAATGTGTAGATCTGTTTTGAGCTGGGGCCTGCAAGGCCACAGGCAAGTAGCTTTTTTGAGAATTCATACTGACCAGTTGGGTGCCAGATGTAACACAAATCTTAAAAGGTCTTATTAAATAAAAAACACTGTGGTCAGATAGTGGGGTGAACAGTGAAAGATCAGAGAAATAGAACTGGCCATGGCTAATCTCACCTCGCCATCTTCTCAGCTGATTTTGTTTCCTCAAACTGGAACCCTCTTGAGTCTTCATCTGAATGGATCTCAGCTGAACTGCTGCTAAAAGCTAAAGGCTTAAAAGAGCTCTAGTTCATGGTCCTCATGCATTATATAACTTTCTGCTTCCTGCCATTACTTCCTGGTATTAAAGGCATGTGTCACCATGCCTGGCTGTTTGCAGTGTGGCTTTGAACTCTCAGAGATCCAGGTGGATCTCTGCCTCTGAAATTCTAGGATTAAAGGCATGTATGCCACCATTTTCTGGCCTCTGTACCTAGTGACTGTTCTGTTCTCTGACCCCAGATAAGTTTATTATGGTGCACAATATATTGAGGAACACAATACTACCACATGTGCTGAAGGCAAGCCAGCTTCAGATGGCTGCCATATGACCCTAACATACTGGCACTCCATGTATCTCCAACATCCATGAGAGCTAGCATTCATAAGCATTTTTTTTTTATATATAAGCAAAGCTTTTTCTACTGTCTGATATATTCTAGGAGCCAATTCTTGCTACATAGCCCTAAAAATGTAAGGTATACCTCAATAAAGCCAATCAGTGAAGTTATATTCTTTATTACTTGTGATTTTTTTCTTAATGTCAAGTAAAGTGGACTGAATTGGTTCAGGTGATCATTCATGCCTGGTAGCCCAGACACCGTTGGAAATATATGGATGGTAGATGATGAATTCAAAAAAGTGTACGTAATTGGAGAAGATTTGAGAAGGACAAAACAAATTTAATCAAAATGAATTATATTAAAATCTCAAAGAACTAAAAATTCTTTTAATCAGAAAGATCCCTGGGCCAAAGTGTGAGGACTTCAGAGAAGTGTGGAGAGCTGAAAATACAAATAACAATAAACATGACATGAAGGTGAAAGACATGGCCTTAGTGCTGAAGAAAGGTAAGTCTAAGAAGTGAGAAAAGTGCCATGTCCCACAAGAATTGTCACAGAATTCATATGAGACTTTGTAGATGAGGACTGAATACTGAAGATGCTACACCCTAAGTTTAGAACTGTGAACTCACTGGTGGCACATAAGGCCTACACTCATAATAGTGACAATACAGGAGTGTAGTTGGACTTTTATTTCCTTCCCATCAGTTCCCAAATAACTGACACAAAGTCTTAACATTAATTATAAAACCTGGCCAATAGCTCAGGCTTATTATTAACTTGCTCTTACAACTTAAATTAACCCATTTCCATTAATCTATGGTACCTGTCCTCCAGCAAGTCTTGTTCTCTCTACCTCTCCTGGTGACTCCTCTGACTCCACCAATCTTCTTCCCATCATTCTCACTTTGACTCTCCCCCTAACCTTATCCTACCTGGCTATAGCCCAGTCAGCTTCTTTACTAAACCTATCACAGTGACAAGTCTTCACAGTGTACAAAATTATTATTCCATAGGATTCCCCACTTTTTGTCGAATTAAAAAAGGAAGGTTTTTAACTTTAATATAGTAAGATTACATACAATACAAACAGTTATTAAGAATTATAGCTACTATATATAGTCCATTTTGACAAAATTAGAGAATTTTGTTATTTATCTTATCTTGGTGAATCTAAAGTTTTATACTTAATTGCTTTTTCTCATAAGCAAGAAAAATTTTAACTATAACAATTTAGTCTTCAACTCTGTTAAACCCCCAAACGGTGAAATGTTATTTAATGACAGGGATATCTGGCTGCTTGAACAGTCATCCAAAGTTATTTTGTAATGTTGGGGCATCTAACTTTGTCCTACAGGCCTGGAATATCTGACAGACATTTCTGAGAAGCAGGAAATTTTGAAGAACTATCCTACCTTGTCTTGACAAAGTTTGGCAATCACTTTCTATTGTATCCTGCTGGTCCAGTTTGGACAATATAATGTCGGCAATTCAGGCAAGGGCAGTTTCTTTGCCCAAATGGCTAGTTTTTGCCATGAAGAAATCCAACTCCATATGGAGGTTCTTTGATCCCATCATCTTCTTTTAAAGTAAATGGGTGTTGTCAGGAGCAGACATGCCTCACTCTCATGAAAAGTCTTAGTTTATTAAACATATTAAATGCCATATTGTGTAGATCTTTAAAGTGTTTGATGCCCATCTATTTGTCTATCTAAATGTACCTGTGTATGACTTTGAAAACATACATAACAAAACTATATGTTTGACTATTATAGGTGACTATTAATCTGTATTTCTTAATTATACATTGCATTTCTAAATGAGTTGCATAAACACAATACACCAAGCAATAGTAGAGACATACATACAGCATAACAAAATTAATTTTAAATTTGTATTAATAAACCAAAATCCATACCAATGTAAAATATTTTGAGGTTGATAGTTTTATTTATTAAGTTATTGGTTTAATTCCTTTAATCCAATATGTTTTAACACCTGCTGTTCCTTCATTAGCAGTCAGAAACTCTAAAGACAGCACAATAGCATACAGGATCCAGACTCTGTGTATTTTCCACCTTTATATGGCTTCTTTTTATATTACTTTATTTCCTTTTTAAGGATTTTATTTTATTATTTTTAAACTATATATATTTTATGACTGTATATACCTTCTCTTTTCTCTCCCAAGCCTATGTATATTTTAAAACTCACCTTAACCCATTGAGAGTTATTTTTCCATTTGAATCTGTCTTTATTGTGTATATGTAATCTTTTTTTGACTGTATGAGCTTTTAAACTGCTAAGTGGCATGAGCAGGACCTCCACCTCTGTTTTGGCAACTGACTCTACCATGCTTGGTTCCCTGAGAACCTAGCTTCATGGCAGAGGTCCTGGCTGGTGAGAACCATGTTTACCAACCCAGCTCTGGGGAATTTTGGGGTCCATATTCCCACTGAGTAGTGCACCACCCACTGCTCATAAACCCCACTTGAGTGTTCCATGGCAGGGTCTATTAAAAGAGCCTTGTTTGTGGTTTGCTGCTAGCACTGAGCCAGGAAGCTGTCTCTTAAAGGAGCCACAACTGCTTGTGTCTAGCAAAGAGAGCCTATCTAAGAAAAGGCAGTTACCAAGAAGCCAAATTGGACTCTATTTTGTGTGTTTAGAATCTTTTTTTTAAGCTTTGTCTGGTCTTATGTGGAAAATTCCAGCTCCACATTGAGCACCATTTTTGGTCAGACTTTTCTTTCACTCTGACTAATTCCCAAGCAACCAACATGGAGTCTTAATATTAATTATAAATGCTGGGTTGATAGCTCAGGTTTATTACTAACTAATTCTTACAGCTTAAATTCATCAATTTCTATCAAGCTATGTATTGCCATATGGATCATGGCTTTACCTGTCTTTCAGCATATCTTGCAACCTATCCATGTCCTGGCAACTCCTTTGACTCCACCACTTTTCTTTCTATCATTCTCAGTTTGGCTCACTTTCCTGGCTATAGGCCAGTCAACTTCTTTATTAAACCAATCATAGTGACAAATCTTCACAGTGGACAAAAGGATTATTCCACAGCACAGAGGGCTAATACCATAAGCTCAGAGCTATTTACCATCAAAAATTACATTTTTCAATTTCATTCTGAAATAAACAAAAAAAAGGAAACACCTCAGACAACTGGTAATACAATCATCATGGAGGACAGTTTAGAGGTCCTTATTACCAAAAGAAAACAGGAGGAATAGGTTATGTATCATATAACCCCATTATTTCAATCAAATATAAAAAGCCCTTTCTCAAATATGGAAACTAGAAAATGTGAATTGATGTAAATTACTAGATTCTGTGAAGGATGGACATTGGGATAGAGAGGAAGTTCATGAATTGTGCCATCACAGTTATGTAAATGAGTTCAAATTCTGTATCTCTGGACTACATAGCTATAGGGCTCAATAACCTACTAAAACCTCTATTAATCATGTTTTTGCTATGATGATAAAATTCCACAACCAAAGGTGTAAGAGTTCATCATGGTGTGGAAGCGGGAGGTAAGGTGGTTAGAGCAGAAGCTGAGGTCTCATATATTAAATAACAAACATGAAGCAGCGAGAGAGCAAACTGGGAACTGGGCAAAGATTTTAAAACTTCAAAGCCCACCCCAGGGTTGTACTTCTTCCAGCAAGTCTGTATCTCTTAGAGATCCTGAAACAGGGCCACTGACTAGGAACCAACTGTTAGATGGTATTACCATTTAACCCACTGACTGTGATTTGTGAATAACTAGAGGAGAGAAATTGAGAGTTCAGACTTGTAGAGCAGAGCGTCACTCAGCCCTTATCAAGGAAGTTCCTTCTTTAAGCAGATGGTAATTGACACAGAGAAAATAGAAAATGTTTCAAGAATGAGAGACTTTGAAGCACTCAGATGGAGAGACAGAGAGAGAATGAGAATGATACTCAGGCAAAGAGCATGATGTCTCATATTTGTTGGAAAATGCATGTAACTAGAATATGTTGTTTTTATTTAAATTAATATTTACAGAGATAGAGATAGCTTCTTTATTTGATCATTATGTGTAGCATGAATCTTAAGAGGTCTTATTAATAAAAAAAAAAAACTTGGGAGCCAGATATTGGATGAAAGCTCAGTGAAGCAGAACAGGCTGTAGCCAACCTCACCTCTTCAACTTCTCAGCTGATCTTGTTTCCTCAAACTGGAAGCCTCTGTGTCTTCATCCAAATGGATCTCAGCTGAACTGCTGCTACAAGCCTAAAAGCTTATCAAGGCTCTATCTCCTGGTCCTCATGCCTTATATAACTTTCTGCTTCCTGCCAGCACTTACTGGGATTAAAGGCGTATGTCACCATGTCTGGCTATTTCCAGTGTGGCTTTGAACTCACAGATATCCAGATGGATCTCTGCTTCCAGAATGCTAGGATTAAAGGTGTATGTGCCATCATTTTTTGGTCTCTATGTCTGTTTATTGGCTGTTCTGTTTTCTGACTCCAGATAAGTTTATTAGGGTGTACAATATATTGGGGGGACATAGTATCACCACATTTCCCCTTTTTTGTCTAAAATAAAAAAGCTAATAACTAATATAAGGAAATACTATATACAGTAAGTATATACAATATATACAGTCAAGAATTATATTAATAATGTCTATTCCATCAACATTTGACAGATTCAGACCAAAAAAACTCAATTATGTGTGGCCTGTGGGGCTGGGCAGGACCAGAGGAAACTTCAGCTACAAATGGCTTCAGTTACAAATGGCGCTAAGACATCTGGTGAGAGTTTCCACCTAAAACCTGAGAAAGATTTTAAAAAAGGGTTCTAAAATGGAGCCGAGAGCAGCTTCCTAGCTGTCTCTCTCAAGCCATTCTCAACCTGCTGGCTTAAGCTACTCTACTGTGGGTTCTTGGCATATGGGCTTGACCTGCAACATGGTGGGAATGAGGAGTCTCCAAGTCACACATTACACTATTACACTGCATGGTAGATTTAGCCTTTACTAATAAAGACAAAAAAAAAAAAAAAAAAAAAAAAAAACAGAAGGAAAGTAAAGGTTTTTAGGGTACATGCTACTGGATGGAAGCATAGAACCACTGCCTTCCCAGAGTCAGCAGACAGCCTGGTTCCCAGAGCTGGCAGTAAAAGTAGTTCCACAATGTTGGAAAGATGAGGCTGACAGAGACAGCAGCCAAAGTTGCTGTTTCAGTCCATGTAATACTGCACTTTTAAGCAATAGATTCACAATAAGACAGATTAAGATGCAGTAAGACTTTAAATGGTTTGTAATGCATATAAAAATTTATGGAGGCTTGGAAGAGAGAAGGAAATGAATATAGACAGTTATATAAAATGTTATTAAAAATAAAGCCTTTAAAGAGACAATAAAAGTAATATAAAAATAAGCCACATAAAAATGGATATTACACAGAGAATCTGGATTGTGTTGTCTTTGGGATTTTTAACTGCAGAGAGGCATTTTACTGTAAAAGCTTCTGAGTTAAATCAATATGTATATTTTAAAGGTATCTCAATTTCAAAATTAATGTCTAAGAATATGTTGCTTTGGAAAAGAGTTTCTGCTTTTGTTTCTACAGAAGATGAGAACCTGTGGATTGCTTCCAGGCTCAGATGGTTTGATCAAGGAAGCCCTGAGAGGTCTCTAGATGATCCAACATCCACAATCAGCTTCAAGGCAACTGGCTCAGACAAGGCAGCCTCAAAGACTATTCCAGTCTTTGACCATATTTATTCATTTTCTCAGGATCTCCATAAGAATACAGCACCCCTTATCAGCAGGAAGTAGCCTAGAAAACCATGTCCATATTCCCAAAAAATAGATTATGAATGTTTGTTTTTGTTTAGGTAGTTGGTTACAAATTGTTATTGGTCATAGTCAATCTCTTCCTAAAAGAACAAAGGAAGATATGATAGAGAAATGTAGAATATAGATATGATAGGATGAAAGGTTAGATTAATGAACCTACTTTTAAAGAGCAACAACTTGTTTAAAAATGTTTTACATTGCTATGGATTTTAGTTTATTGATACAAATTTAGAGTTGATTTTGTATATATATATATTCTCATTTAAGGTATTATGTTTATGTAACTCATTTAAATCATAATAGATAATTAAGAAATACAGATTAATAATTAGTTTCTATGATAGTCAAACTTATAGTCATGTTAAGTTTTCTAGGTATGCATAGATATAATTTAGTTAGGTAGATAATCTTTAAACACTTCAAAGGCCTACAGAATATGGCATTTAAAATGTTTTAAAAGCTTAGACTTCCTGGAAAATGAGACACATCTGCTCCTGGCAGCATCAATTTACTTCAGAGAGAAAGATGGGCATCAAAGACACTCCATATGGAGTTTATCTTCTTCTTGGCAAAAACAGCCATTTGGGCAAGAAACTGTTCTTGCCTGGACTGCTTGACAAAATGCTGTGGATATCACTCTGTATGCTGTAAATGTGTTGCTCTGATTTGGTTGAGAAATAAAATGCTGATTGGCCAGTAGCTAGGTGGGACAAGATTACAATGCTCTTCCTGTTTACTTAGGTAATATTATGTCCTTCTGGGGTCTTTGATATAGTTGAAGACTAGATGTAATTTTCCTTGGTTATGATATGAAGTAAGATAGTTATGAAACCTTAGACTCACAAATATAGGATAGATAGGATATTTTCTTTAAATATCCAAATATTATATTGCCAAATATAAATGGACTGATTATTGTAACTATAATTCTTGCTTGATAACTGTTTTGTTATGTATAATTTTACTATGTTAAAGTTAAACCCTTCCTTTTTGATTAGACAGCAAAGGGGAGGTGCTGTGGGATGTTCTGTATGCTGTGAATGTGTTGCACTGATTGGTTGATAAATAAAAAGCTGATTGGCCAGTAGCCAGGCAGGAAGTATAGGTGGGATATGCAGACAAGGAGAATTCTAGGAAGAGGAAGGCTGAGTCAGCAGACACCAGCCTGCCATCCAGGGAGCAGGACGTAATGGCATATATGTAAAACCACGGAACATGTGGCGTCATATAAATTAACAGAAATGGGATTAGTTTAAATGTAAGAACTAGTTAGTGGTAGGCCCAAGTTAATGGCTGAACAGTTTTAACTAATATAAGCTTCTGAGTGATTATTTTATAAGCAGCTGCAGGGTCTGTGGGGCTGGGCAGGACCAGAGAAAACCTCAGCTACAATTACTCATGCTGTTCATATATCAAATTATCATTCTGTAAAATATATTTTAAAAATGAATTTAACAAATAAATGCAAAGATGTTGGGAATAACAATAATGTTTGTACTTCTATTTGTATGAGATACGGGGCAATTCATGGTAGAAAATATAATAAAATAGTTTTCTGAAAGTATTTTCTGTTACTTGTTTCTATATAATATTGGTTCTTGTTATACAGAAATATTAAGTTTGTAAAAATGTAATTTATGATGTGTGGATTGTATGCCTGTCTTTTACTTCAGGCAATAAAGTATCACAAAATACAGAAAAATATAAACATTATTTAAAAAAACCTCTATAAAAGTAACCTGTATTAAGTTTCTGCTATTGTTAGTGTAGGTATAAACCTATAAAATGCAACTTTATTAGAACACCATCAATATGTCTTTCAGGTCCAATGATTTGGTTCTTAGTATCTGAGATAGAGTTAATAAAGGTGAAAAGATGTCTACCATAACTCTCCTCACATGGGAATATAAGTATCAATCATATAATTATCAAATGTCTCACGGGCTCTGTTTGAAGCTTTCTAATGCCCAAGCAGAATTAGCAAATCGCTTTTGTTTGCCTAAGGAAGAATCCCAAGAGGTGATGAAAACTCATAAATCAGTCTAATGGAGTTGAGAACACACAGGGAAAATGCAGGAAAGATTCCTCATTTAGAGGTGAGTCGCCTATATTTGTTTCTGAAAATCCTCCACAGAGTACACCTGACAACTTGTTATAGGTTGCTGAAATCTGGAGTTTATGGTGCTTGAAAAATCTGCCTTGAAAAGTAAAATAGAAAACAATTTTGGTTTAATTCTGTATACGGTACAGGGAGAAATTGGCCCATCTTTATTCATCTTTTATAATTAGTTCACAGAACCATTTGTTGAAGGGACTAGTCTTTCTCTACTGGATGGCTTTGACATAATTTGGACATGCACGCATAGACTTAGCCCATGTACTTACTGTAGTCCGTGATTTGTCTATTCTTTGGGAAACACTATGCTTGTTTTATTAATGTGTTTTAAATTAAGTGCTGAATTCATAATATGTGAGTCTTCAAACTTCTTTATTTTTCCTGTTTGCTTATTTTGACTACCTTGGAGACTCCTTGTATTCCATGTACATCTTATTATTGACTCTTTTGCTCCCTTTTATAACCGGCATAGAGAATTTAAAAACTGTTTAGAATTCTAGACAAATTTCATATTAACAGCAGTGAAACTGTTTTCCAATAAATAAATAAGACTGTTACTCATTTAATAATTTTCTTTATTTCATCAAAATTTTGTGTTTCTCAGGATAGAAATCTTTTTTTCTTAGTTATATTTATTACTTTATTCCTTAGATTCATATTTTAATTTATTTTTTATTCTTTCCTATTTTTCTTCTTTGAATTAGTATTAGACATATACATATATGTTAATTATATATATGCAATTGATATCCAAACAATGATCTAGTGCCCTGAAAATTTGCTGAATTAGTTTATTAAGGTTTTTTTTTCCAGCATTTGATTAGGTTCTGCTAATGCTTAAGTATAAGATGTTCCCCCACAGAAGCATATGTTTGGACATTTTGTCCCCAGGTAAAGGCACTGTTTTGCTAGAGTGTAAAACCTTAAGACAATGTCCATAGCTGGCAGACACATTTAGTGATGTAAGTTCAGGGTTACAACCCAGGTATGCCTCTGGAATATGTGCACTGTTACCTTATTGACTGTCATATGAGCAAGAAGTCTCAAGGTCCTCTTGCCACAATTCAATCTGGCTAACATCCCTATCCCAATATGGTACACTGTATCCCCTCAACCAACTGGTTAGTGATATTAAATCCTGCCAACATTAAGTTTCTTGTCAAATCTTTGAACACAAAAACAAGAAAAATGACTAACATGGATTGCTTAAAATTTTCTAAAGAACAACAACAAAAAATCATGTTATCTGTGAATACAGCTATTTTATGCCTTTCTTTCTAATTTATAATTTTCCAATAGTTTATCTTATACTGATCTGGTAATCGTTTTAAAGTATTGTGCAACCTCCCCCCCTGCTCCCCTTTCCAAACCTTCCCTTATGCCCCTTTGTGCTTTCTTTTAAGTCATGGCCTCCATTTCTTTCAATTGATGATGAATGCATTTATGTATATACACAAATATTCCTAGCTATAACCTGCACAGTTGGTTTAAAAGTTTTATCTTTCATAGTTACTTCTGTGTTTTATAATTTACTCATAATTTTTACTCATATTCACAAGGGATGCATTTAGTTTTCTCATCTTACAGTAGATTTAACTATGGAAGTTTGATAACAAGGTAATTTAGGCTCCATGAATTGCAAAGGTGTTTGATACTTTTTATTCATTTAGGAACATCATGAGTAAGAGTGTTTTGTTTGTTAGATGCTTAGTGGAATTTAATTGAGTGGCATTGCTCATGCTTCTCTTTCACTTATGTCATCCATACTGGAAATAACAATTATATTTAAGATCCAGTGCTTCACTAACAATATTTCAGATAGTAACAGTTAACTCATACTTTATTTTGTAATCTTATGTGTATGTATTAATATATAAACATATTATAAAATGTATATTCGGCCGGGCGGTGGTGGCGCACGCCTTTAATCCCAGCACTCGGGAGGCAGAGCCAGGCGGATCTCTGTGAGTTCGAGGCCAGCCTGGGCTACCAAGTGAGTTCCAGGAAAGGCGCAAAGCTACACAGAGAAACCCTGTCTCGAAAAACCAAAAAAAAAAAAAAAAAAAAAAAAAAAAGAATATAAAATGTATATTCATGGTATATAGTATAACATATATTGAATATTAAATACAAAATATTAAGTTGTTACTGTTGGGGTCTAATATATAATCTAATTATTATCTTTATATTTCTTACCAGCATAGGTTTCCTGAGTAGTCTAGATGGATACATACAATCTTACAGTGCTCAAGTACTTCATTCTAACTGGAATCACAGGTCTCCCTGAACTGGAGGCCCCCTTATTTGGACTTTTCCTCATTGTATACATGATCTCTGTGGTGGGTAATTTGGGCTTGATCATCCTCACCAAAATAGACTCCAGGCTTCAGACACCTATGTACTTCTTTCTTAGACAGCTGTCTTTCACTGACCTTGGCTATTCAACTGCTGTGGGGCCCAAAATGTTAATAAACTTCATTGTTGATCAACCTACAATTTCCTATCATTGGTGCTCAATCCAGCTGACCTTCTTCAGTGTGTTTATCACTACTGAAGTTTTTGTTCTGTCAGCCATGGCTTATGACCGCTATGTAGCCATCTGCCATCCACTACTCTACACAATTATCATGTCACAAAGATTGTGCCATGTGCTAGTGGCAATACCTTACCTCTATAGTATTTTTATATCTTTATTGACAATTATCAAGATTTTCATTTCATCATTTTGTGGCCATAATATCATCAGACATTTCTACTGTGACAGTCTGCCACTGATATCATTGCTGTGCTCAGACACACATGAAATTAAGCTGATAATTTTAATCTTTGCAACTTTTAATTTGGTTTCTTCTCTTCTGGTGATCTCCATATCCTACATCCTGATCCTTGTAGCAATTCTTAGGATGAACTCTTCAGAGGGCAGGCACAAGGCCTTTTCTACCTGTGGCTCCCATCTGACAGTGATAGTTATATTCTATGGGACTCTATTTTTTATGTATGCACAGCCAAAGTCCAATCACTCATTTGAAACTGGTCAAATGGCTTCTGTGTTCTATACACTGGTTATACCCATGCTGAATCCTATGATCTACAGTTTGAGGAACAAAGAGGTGAAGCAGGCCATTCATAGAAAATGTAAAATGTGTGTGAATATTCTACTTAAGTTGTAAAAGGATAGGATATAGTAAAAAGAAAATACGTGGTAATTTATATGTAGCATACCTAATATTCCTTTAGCTGGATAATACTGTCTTTTCAAATGGCCAAGATTCTAAGTGATGAGTACAGATATACAGAAAAACTAATTATTGATTAATTCACATTGATCACTTTTGTGTGACTTATATATTTGTAGGTTTTATAATGTAAAGTTGTACTTGGATTTCATTTCCACAAATCATGCCATATATCATGCTTCTTGTTCCCTTCAAATAAACTCATTTAAACTAAAAGCGTGATCCCTTAATGTGCATTTCATATCTAGTGCTGTAATTCCTAATATTGTAAAACATAAAGCATGTCTATATACACAATCACATGAGATCATATAATGTTCTGCTAGAAATCTTAGATGATGAAAGACAAGAGGAACAATTATAACTATTTCTATCCTTGAAACTTAACAAAAGAAAAAGAAGGAGACAAAGAATAATCTCTGACTTTTTTACACGTGGTATCTAAAAAACTCTCAACAAGTGGGTCCCTCTTCACAGTCCTGGATGTCTCCTATGGAAGTTTGGTATTTATGTGTCTGCAGCCACTGTCTCATCATTCCTATGCAATGACAAAGTAACTTCTTTGTTTTATACCCTGGCATCCCCATGTTGGATGCCTTGATCTGTCGCGTGAGAAACTAAGATGTACAATATTCCCTACAAAGTACACTGAAACATTGCCCAAT